AAAGATGCCTTATGAGATCGACTCTCTTCGTGGTCTACAATACGCTCTGGATGCTTCCAGTCACGAAATCCAAAAAATGCGAATTGATTTCGTTCATTTGAAAATAAGTGGCAAATAAAACAATAAATATTACCGGTCGATGTAGAATAAGAAAGCCAGTCTCGTTCTACTGTTTCTCCGTTGTGCAAATTGCGATAAAAAAGAGATGAATGAAAAAATCTTATTTTCTGTTTCTCACTTTCGTCATAAATTCTAGCTGATTTTGTATATTCAACATTCTTATTATGAAAAAAAGATGGATCTTTTTGCAAGCAATAGTTTCGTAAATCTTCGTTGATATCTTTTCAGGATGCTAAATCTGTTGAATATTTTGTAATTGTACTGAGATTTTCAGACTCATCTATTGGTATGAAACAAAAAAATTTTAATGTATTTTTTTTCTTCAATTTTTGTAAATAAAATAGATTTTTACGCTATCACTTAAAAATCTCATGTAAATAATAATTTAGTAAAAACAAAATGTACCTGTACACTTATGATTTAAAATCTCCAAATTGCAGCAATATCTATGAAGAAATTCCGGCAATAATTATATTAATATATTTAAAAAACTTTCCACTTATTAGTTTTACCTGCTTCATGAACACTTTGAACATTAATAAAATTAGTTATCTTCGGTAACTTTGAAATTTGAATTTTACCTTCTTTAGCTTTTTTTCTTTTTGCTGCCCCGCTAGAGTGAATTCGATGCATTTTAAAGTTTAAAATCAACAAACACAAACACGAATCATTAAACTAAAAAAAATATCTCGTAGCTTTAGTGGCGCGTAGCTTACAACACGTTGTTGCCGTAGAACATGTTTAAACATGTTTACCAGCAGTCTGCATTGTTATTGGAAAAACCGATAGTTCCTGCGCGTACGTGTCAAAATAAAATTCTTGGCGCCAAGCTAATTGCGCGTAAATCTAAAAATATACTTACTTATAGTATGTAGATATACAAATACGCGTATATATATATATATTTTTTTATATACAAATATATGTCTTGTATTCATTAAAAAATACTTACCGTTTATTATAGTAAGTGGTGGAAAAATTCTAGATACACAAAAATGCGGTAATTCAGCTAAAACTTATTTTAAAGAAAAATCATAACGATCAATATTACTGGTTTTTAAACAATTTCAAGATTTTTCGTCTCCTTAAATGGGCCTCCAAGTAATGAAAGACTGCTCTGATCTCGTACCCCAAGCATGTAAAACATAGGTTTTACCAACTCGGCAACCTTACGTCACTATCGTCGGTTGAAAAAATTGGCTATTTAAGCTAATTTAAATTTCAAAGTTATTTTTTTTGACTTAAAAGAAGCAAACAAATTTAACTTTCTATGCTACATTAATTTTTAATTTATATAATATTTATGAAAATCTGTACTCATCTTGTCAGGTATTTTAAAATAAAATAAAATACACAACCCAGAATTTTAACACAAAAATAGTATATTTTTAAATACGGTAGTCATTTTTACCATGAAGACAAATCCAGAGGTCAATTTTTTTTTTCAAATTAACGTATATTACATAAGCTTTAATTTAAGGTATATATAAAAGTGTCAGTATTTCCGGAATACTTTCAAAAATTAAATTGAAAATATCTTAGTAACAATAGGCATGTTTATAGTTTTGATCCTCCTTGTTAAATGGGTNAAAGTTTTGACCCCCCTTGTTAAAGGGGTATGATCCGATTTACAAAAAAAGCGTGCCAGATGAAAGGGGTATATAAATATTTATTATAAAAAAATTATAATATTAATCATACATTTTTCCAAAAGTTTTNTTATTATAAAAAATAATAATATTGATCCATAAATTTTTCCAAAAGTTTTATAAAATATAAATTAAATAATATAAAATATAAAATCGAGAATTTTTTCACGGAAATCGTACGTTTTTCTTTAACTTTGATGTCCGTTTTACCACGAAGACAAGTCTAGAGGTCAAATTTTTTTTTCAAATTAAAGTATATTACATAAGCTTTAATTTAAAATATATATAAAAGTTTCAGTCTTTCCGGAACATTTTCAAAAGTTAAGTTGAAAAAGTTAATTTTTTGTAAAAAAGTTACCATTTTGAAACTCTTCCTGTGGGCTGTTAAAGGGTCAAATGTTCACAAAAACATATAAAATGATAGGTAAATATCTAAGGTATTTATAAAAAAAAAACTTATATTGATTCGATCATTTTTAAAAAAGTTATGGTAATTTTAAGTAAAAAAAATTGAAAAAATATCAAAAATTAGCGATTTTTAAATTTGTAATTTTTGAGGGGATTTCCCGCCTTTACGGGGAACGAGGAATTTTTTTCAATTTTTGAGGATAATGTCTTCAACTAGATACGATTTTTGATGTTTTGACATATTTTTCATTAAAATCGGTTCAGTGAGAGCTGAGATTGAGCGTATAGACACAAAAAAAAAAAAAAAGGCATCATAGTAAAATTAATACCTTCTTAGCTTCGCATCGAATCTAAAAATAATGGCACCACTGCCAAGTAAAATTGAAAAATGATGATTTCAATTTGCATCATGTAATATAGTTTATTATTTGTAAAACTGAAAGTAAAACATTTTTGTAATGTTTGGTTTAATTGTAATTTCCTGAATTATTGTTACACTAGACTAGGAAGTAAATATTTATAAACATTTTTTGATTGTATTATTATTGTTGTATTCGTAAAAAAGAATATAATAAGAAAAACAAAATATTTTAGTATATAAGACGAAATAGAATGTATTGTAAGATAAGAGAGAGAAGACTTTGGGACCACTGAAGGTAGTCTCTTATCGTGCGGTACGTTTATGACATTAAGTTTTCATTTTGTGTATTTTTTTATTGTGTTTTAAGTGTATCTTTATTTTGTATGTTTTACATTATTTAATTATATGTTTGATAATTACATTTGTATTATTATTGAACTTTTATTAATTTAAGTTACGACACTAGGGTTGTTTAATTTTGATACAACAATCATAAACGCGAAATATGTAGATATCTTTTATTATTCTTATATCATATTATTCTAATGACGCAATAATAGCCAAGTAAAGTCTATGTATTAATATGAATGAATTTGAATATAAAATTAATACTTAATTTACATCATATATAAATTTTATGTTATTTTGCAGTATCGTATGATCTTTCTTAGGTTAATACTTATTTAAGCAAAAAGAAATAAATAAGAGAATATTGAATGGAGTACGATCGCTTCTGTAAAGAAGCCAAGTTTGCAATAAGTAAGGTGAAGTTAAAGAGGTGTGATGAGTTGTATGAAAGCCTAGAAACAAAGAAGGAGAAAAAAAGTTTATAGACTTGTAAAAGTAAGATAAAAAATGTCTAAAGATTATCATTATGTAATGCGTATAAAAATTGATGATAAAAGAATGCTAACGAGCGAAAATTATGCGAAAAAAAGATGGAAAGAGCATTTTGAAAAATTACTGAATGAGTAGTATCCAAGAGAGACATTAGAAGATATATCTTAAAGCTTTGGCATTAAGCTTATGAGTCATAGTAAGAAGATTTCGGAAAAGGTCAAAAGAATAAGAGAAGAAACATTAGTAACAAAGAACTAGCTTGATTTTTTGCCTGAAATACAAACGATAGAGCCAATTTTTTTTGTGAAACAAACTAACATAAAAGTATAGGGAAAAGAAGAAAAAGTTATACATGGTGTTTATAAATATGGAGAAAGCGTATGATTGAGTAGCGATATAACTTTTATGTAAAAATTAATGAAAAAAGAGTATAATGGCACTTGTACCAGGATAAAAAGTGTGGGTAGAGTAACAGAAGAGTTTAGGATAAGAATAGTAATACCCCAAGGTTCTGCTTTAAGTTGTTACTTATTTTCTATAGTGATGGATGAAATTAATTGGAGAAAGGAATCTGAAGCTGTAAGAACAGTTATGGAAATAAATTTTAAAGGAAGAAAAGGTAGAGGAAGGACAAAAAAAGGGATTGAGAGATGCAATTGAATGCGATATGAGGACGGCTGATGTGAGCTTAAATGATGTGGGAGATCGTGTCAAATGGAAGTTTAGGATAAGGGTCGCCGACCCCAACGTGTTGGGATTAAGAAGATGACAAAGAAGATCATATATACCGTGACGCGTATCCACTATTTACGATTGAACCGGTGATGCTTCGCTGCACGCTAATATATATATATGTATATATAGATGTTATTCCGCTATTAGATATTTAATAAGGCGTACCACTAAGTCCAGCGCACGACTTCAATCACAGTTATAGTTAATTTAAGTTTACTCCAATTACGGGTCTTTAACGGATATATCCTTAAGTTAAAGCGTGCGGTCAAGAACAAAAAAAAGAAAGAAAACACACAGATAAATTTGCAAACACAATTTGTCGAAATTTCCACTAATAGGTAGAGCCGAAAATATCTGAACGAACCACAGAAAGAAAACAAACGTTCGCATAGATGAAATATGTCCAGTTAAGGTAGTCGTCCGAAAAACGCAACAGCAAAAGAAAATACACCACTTCAATGTACGTCGAAAACCGAACAGGACGCAATATCGGTAATCCATATTCGGCGGCGGCCTTATCTCAGTGTCAAGGGCGGGGAGACGACCGATGACAACCGATTGTCATATTAATAGCTGGACGGCTGATATCGAGAGAGACACGGGTGAACGCCAGCCTAGAGCAAAAGGCGGTGCCGTGTCAACCGTTATAAAAGATAAATGACTTATAATACTAGCATATAATATTATGTAATAATTTGTAAATTTATGTTACATATTATAATGAATAAAGTGTGCGTAGATCGTGTTAAGTGGAAGTTTAAGATATGTGTGACCAACTGCAATTATTTGGGATTCGGGAGAGAAAAAAGAAGAAGAGATGGTGATATAAAATGAATATTATAGAAATAACAAATAATACACCAAAATACCAAATTCTGACTTCTGACTTCTTTGTTTAATACCAAATTTATTAGACAAAATATTTAATATTTTACCAAATGTAAAACTAATAATTAACTTAATAGCAATTAAGCAATAGTAAACAATATTTTTCAACAGTAAATTTTATTAAAATGTAAACTTATTTTTAAAATGTTAAAATATTCTTTTTTGTTTTGCAATATTAATCGATTTTTCTTGTAGCAGATATCAATTTTCTTCTGAAGATTTTTTATTCAATTTTTTTTTTATGTCTGAGGCAAATGATTTAAATCTTTGAAGTATCTATAATATAATTATAAGAATATTAATCATGATTCAATAATTTAAGAATTAAGCAGTTTTTCCTAAAAGCAAAAACAAGTTAATAATTTCATTGGTTTTTTACGTAAATTGAATTTTTTGTAGTAAAAATGTCTTCTTAAATATAGACTTTACATTATTATTAAAAATAATACTTACAGAGACAGTCTCTTCTTTTTCTAAATATAACACCCTTCTGTATTCAGCACCACATTCCTTAGTAAAAGTTAAACAATCATTATAAACATCCTCTCCAGAAAACATTGCTTTAATTTCTGTTTTAGATATACTACAGACATAGTGTCCTATTTCTAATTCCATAGCTTCATCCGTCATTTCACCAATTACATGTAATATTCTAGCTTCACTTAATAAATCTGTTGCTTCCCTTGAACACCACCCTAAAATATGTCAATAAAAAGTTAGCTAAGCAAAAATAACGTAGCAGAACTGTATTTTGATTTTGAATTTGGTTGCTTTTGATTATCAACTTTTTATAACAATCATATTACGAAGGACAATCAACAATTAAGGTTACAAACACTTAAGCTCACTCAAAAAAAAAAAAAAAATCCAGTACTTTCAGTTAACTTTTCTCCTCTTCAATACTCCTACTAATTTTCTACATCTACCAGTTCATGTGCCAACATTCCTCTTACCTATTCTTACTTTGTATCCATCTTTTTCTCTTAAACGTGAGCATAGAGTTGAGCGTTGTACAAGTGTTAGATAGACCTGTATACATAACTTGTGAAACAGCTACTGCACAAGTTATCAGGCTTATATTTAACCTTTAAACCCTTTAGTTTTTAACTACTTTATTTCCTCTGACCTATTGTTCCCACGTACATTCGAGATAGTACAATCTACCTAAGTTCCGATCAGGGCTGCTCAAACTTTCGACAAAATTTTACACCAGACGTCGATTTGACACAACCTCACAAGTCGTCTCTTATGACTGGCGTAAGGGCCGTGGAAGTATTCTTATCTACAAGTAAATTTTAGAAGATTTAACATAAAAACAAATAGTAGTATACATCTGACTATAATTTTACATGAAACCAATATTTTAGTAAATTTAATTTTACATATTTTTTATACGAAATATTTTGTTCTAACGTAATTATTTTGAAAGTTAAGAATGATTTACGTTCAAAAATTGAATTTTAGGGATTTTTTTTTTAATTTTTTGACCTAGTATAAAAAAAAATTTTTTGAAGAAAATATTTAAATCTATAATTTATGTTTTATAAATTTTTATGATAAGTGTGTTAGTTTTGAAAAATAATGTTAAAAAACTGATAATCTACTCTTTTGAGCAATTTTTTATCCCCGATTCGGTATTTGAAATAAGTAAGTTATCAAAACCAAATTTTAACTAAACGACTTTTATATAATAACGTAAAACATTGGTGAGTACGGAGATCGATCAACAAAAGTTTATAAGATAAGAGACACTTCAGTGTATATATACTAAGTGTTACCTAGCTAGAGCTCCACCCCAGACCCGGTGCCTTTCGACACTTAAGACAGTTCTTAAAAGTAGACCATTCATTCCAGTAAGAGTTCCCGGCTACACCAGGCATGATATGTGTAATGTAAAGAAAAGCATAACTCCAAAAGTAGTTTACAAGAAAAATATTTCAAATTATAAATTAAATAATATTTTAACAACAAAATACTCATGTGTATAATAATCTACTAATTATTATTCCAAATAACAGATAGACGAAAGAAAACTTAATAATTATTAAAACAATCTTTAAATATATGGTTATTTGTAAAAACTACATCCACTAACATAAAATTGAAACGATATTGAGGTACGCAAAACAAAATCATATCCTATTAAACTAATATGCATGGACTTGAAAAAAAAAAATGATAATTTTCCTAAAATAACGTCATTGAGTTCTTTCATTTAAAAAAAAATGTTGAACATTTTATGTCATTAAGTATCATTTCCAGTGTTCCAATTAATTTTTCAATATTTTATTATATAATAAGATTTATATGAATATTATTTACCTGATCCTCGTACATTATGAGCCATCGATTTTTGATTTAAGCAATTCATTAATTCATATTTTGCGATATCGAAATTATTTCGAGTTAGTTTCAAGTTTTCTTGGTAATCATTTGCCAATACTAACACTATTAGATAAGTCTTCGAAATATAAAAATATATAAGATTAATAAACAATAATTTTTAAAGTAAATTTTCAATTTTCTATTTTTTATTTCCGTTAACATAGATTTTAATGGGTTTATCAAAAATAGCCTTTTTTTATTAATTTTAATTTTAAAAACCCAGCACAGGGGGGTCGCGGCACAGTGGTGACGTGGTATAGATGGATCAAGTATAATGATATCTGACAGTGATTAAAATCACTATAAAAAAAAAACGCTTCGATGCAAATCTTTAAATAGTGTTTAATTTTAAAAAATTGGTGGATTATTCCAAAAGCTTCATAAACTGCTAGTTCCTTATTAATATCCTGATTAAGA